TGCACTTTTTTGTTATATCCAAGCAAGAGATTTACAGATTGCAGCGCTTCGACTGCATGGAGCCACCGCATGACCGCGGTCACGTTGCTTTGGTTCCTCGTTCATTATTAGTCAGTGTTTGTCTCTTTTTCACTGTCTACTTAGGCTTAGCGGCTGGTGCACACATTTAGGTTTTGAGCTGCCCGATTTTTGCGTTGCTGCTTTCCTGGACGTACCGCCACGGTGGGAACTTTGCCGCTGTCTTGCACGTGGTGAGTCTCGATGTACAGTTAAGGAACATAACTGCGTGCAGTTGAGGTGGCCCTGATGTAGTAGGCTAAGCTACACTTCAAGACCCGCTAGTATACTAGTCATACCCGATTATAATTGATTAGGATTCGACTAATTGGGGTGCCTGTTCGTATACACCATTGCAGGAAACTTGTAGCTCGATACGGCAAGAAGCAACGTTCTTTTACATGTGTACTAGATGCAGTGAGCAACTAGCTGTGTATTCTCCAAGTGCTTAGAGGATACAACTAGGCGCATCCATAGTGTCTCTCATCCCTTGTGCTGGGAACTCTGAGTGGTGCAGGCAGGGGAAGGCGTAGGCCTCGTGGCGACACTCGGCAACATTGCTTAGTTTGCACCGAGTCTCGAGTTTAGTGTCACACTATGGAGACCTTAGAGAGAAAGCCCTGAGCACTGGAGAGTACCACTAGTGCCCTTCTTAGCACGATGTGAAGGTACATGCGGATAATGCAGAGGATCTGACTTGCGGAGCATCTGGATCAGCTGCATGCAGAGGCTCCAAACTCTGAGTTTAGAAGAGCCATCTGGCAAAAACGGGTATGCTAAGTGTCCGATAGCTAGACTCGGGGTTTTATCTCGTTCGGATTCTGCAGAACACATCTGAGTACAGCACTCTGTAGCAGCGACCATTCAAGGGCCTGAATCACCCGCTTGAGTGTGGGTGTATTTCTTGTGCTTTGCAGAAAGCACTGCTTCTCATGACCAAGCGATCCACTCCAACAGTTCTCTAAACTGCGGCGCTCTAGTAGCCAAGCATAGCTTTGTAGAAGGGTTCTTACTACGCACGCTTTGATTCAGGCGATGTAAGCCTTGCATAGGCATCCTGAGAGACACCGAGACACCAAAGAACTGCTGCAAGGAATTTTTTCAGTGCGTGAATCTTCAGCATACTCTTGGCCTTTTTCTCGAACCGCGGATGGACTTCCTCTATATTCTACGACTTCCCTTTTTGTAGCGGTGCCCCTAGACTGCAGAGTCTTAGCTGCAAGTACCACACGACTGAGCAATGTGCAGGGCGGACTCTGGATGCGTTGGCCAATGTCGCGACTATGAATCCACAACTCCGTACGCGGGTATGCAAATTTATGCAGCAGGAAAAACCCGAGGACGGTGGAAAATTATAATGGATCATGAATTTTGAGCGGCACGCAAGAAGCGATCTAATCATCCTTTTGCACCTCTCCAATCAATGCGCACTACCAGCACAAACATCCACCAGGCTATGCCTACTTTTTTAATCGCGCCGAATCCGGCAAATTCACAGGAACATTATGATTGGTTTTTGGTGCTTCTAGTCTATAATTTAATGATCTGGGTATTCATAAATAGATTTGCCGTGATCGATGTCTAGCTTTGGCAACATGCTCTTTTAGGGGCTTCGAGAACCAGAGAAGCGTACAGCAAGCACAGGCCTTGGCAGAACCTGGCGTTGCTTCGTAGGGACACGTACAAAAGGACGGGCAACATCAGGGCGAGACGCAGCCACATAAGCCACCCCTCATCCCGTTGGCGCTGCGGTCGCTGCTTCATGAGGGAGAATAAGAACGTAGCAGTGTACCAGCATGCTGCGTCCTGCTGCAGCAGCTATTCGCTAAACGGCGTGGTCTCATCAAGAAGAAGCTGTCTACGGCACAGGTTTTTATGTATCCAAAAAAGATTCAAAGCCTTCTCTAAGCAGCACCAGCCCCCTCGCCTTCTCTTGCTCATCGCCGCTGGACTCCTGCTTTTGCGGGCAGGACGGTGTTTCTGCAGAGAAAAACCCTTTTGCCGAGCGAAACAGGTGATTCCCGCTGCGGGGAGTGCTGCTAGGTTCGCCTTCTGCTGCTGACTGCAGCCTTGCCAAAACCTTAAGAGGCCTCTTCTGCGTAGGCTTTCCTGCACGCTGGGATGCTGGCGACACCGAAGTTCGAGTCGGCGCGCTTGTAGCTGTCTCTGCATCCTTACTACGGTGACCACCGTCCATCCAGGAACCCCGTGAAGCGCCGTCAGAACTGCGAGGCATCGCACTGCTGAAAATGCTTTTGTTGGGAATAAGGGCGCTTGTCTCCTGCTGCTGACGTGAGGCCTTCACGCCTCCAACTTGGCGTGGCTGGGAGACAACGGCGTCCTTAGGACAGTGCGTTGTTGTGTCTGCACGCTGCTGCACCCAGTTGGGCTCTTGGTGAGCAGTTTCTCCCTGCAGTTTTCTCTGAGCCGACAAGGCACCTGAAGCAACGGCGCCCCTGAGTTGAGGCTGGTTCGCGAGGCCACTTAGCGACAATCGCACAACAACACGCCTCGCTTTGGGATCTTCTTCTGCAGAGCCTCGTAATTTTGCCGCCGCCGCTGCAGCAGCAGCAGCGGCCATAGGCGTCTCTCTGGCCGTCAGAGCACCCCTCTTGCTGCTCCTGCTGCTAGAGGCTTCCCTCGGGGAGGTACATGCGGAGACGGATCCCTGAGGGCATTGCGAGAAAGCGCGATGCGGAGAGGGCTCCTGGTTTTCCTCGCCGTCCGAAGGCGCGAGGCGGCGCACCACGGATCGACGCGAAAAACACTCAACGCCATCTGAAGGAGGCCATTGCTCGCATGCAGTCTCCCCGTCTCCCCGATAGCAAGACGCACGGCCAAATCCTGTTCCGTCAAAATGCGCAGTTCTGGCCTTGTTATCGCTGCAGGAAAAAAAAATGCCGTCTTCTTCCTGATGCTCTCGGCGAGGCGTGGGCTGCCGAAGTGGCCTTTCTGAGGCCGCTTGAGGACGGCGCTCGAGCTGCTGCTGCAGCGGCGACTGCGTAGGAGGAGGAGACGCAGTTTTCATCAGGAAAGGCACTGACGCTTCGGGACTGTTGCTGCGGCAGCTATCGCGATTTGTCGCGCTTGCACGGGCTTCCGGTCGGCAGTAAAACGCCGAGAGCTTTGTTTCTTCGTCCAGCTCTATCCCCCGCTTCCCCCGATCCGCGCAAGGCTCGACTTCCTGGAGCCACCGCTGATGTTGAGCCCCCTTTTCGGAAGCTGGCGTTCTTGCCGATGTCAGGGGGGTCGCTGCTGCACGAACTTGGAGGGGCCTCTCTGGAATGCGGCAGACGGAGACGCGCGAAGACGGCACGCGGATCGCCGCCTCAGGCAGGCACAGGCCACGTGGAGAGGAAACGGAGGCTGCTGGAGAGGGTGGCATGCTGCTGCCTTCTTGCAGCCGCTGCGTTGCTAGTTCTGCAGGAGACAGACATGCAGACGCGTCGGCCTCCAGAAACGCTGGCGGATCTGGCAAAAGAGACACAAAGGCAGTGGCTGCTGCAGCAGCAGCTGCCATTGCCTTTGCAGGCCCTGTCTCTTTTGGGGGGGAAGGCAACACTGCAGCCTCTCCAGATCCACGTCGCTGCTGCTCGCGCTGCTGCAACGCCAAAGAAAGCGGGATGGGTTCACCGCAGCCTCTCACGGCACTCCCTGCAGGAGGCTGCTTTTCCTGCTGCTTCGACAGGCTGGTGCTTCTCTGCTTCGGGCAACTGTTTTGCAACATTTCGCGTTGCCTTTCAGTAAGCAGCACGAAGTTCGGCGACTGCGAGACGCGGGCCTGCTGGCGCTGCTGCAACCCTGAGCCGCCTGCAGCACGAGAAGCGGAAGGAGCTTCTCGTGCATCGGAGTCTTCCGAGAGCAGCAGTTGCTGCCTCACAAAGGCCATGATGCGTTCATCCCGCCGCTTTAGAAGTTCCTAAAGCATATACACATACAGAGAAAGAGAGAGAGAAATAGACATGCTTGCACTGCATCGAATGTAGAAGCCCACGCTTCCCAGCGCAGCAGTCCCTTGAAGAGCATCTAAATCTAGAGAGAGAAAGGGCATTCGTGCGGCTGTTTTTGATGCTGCTGCAGCATACATCCCGAGTCCGCTGGTGAGGATGCTGCAAGAGGTGCTGCTGCTGCAAAAAGAATCGCTGATTTCTTCTCAAGCGCTTCTTCGCGGAAAGAACGGCAGCATCAACGACCGCCGCTGTGTCTGCAGCCCCTTGCCGCTGCTGGATCCTCTTGCCTTGCACCCTTTGTGCCGCGGCTGCGATCCCAGCGGCTGCTATTTCCCTCTGAAAATAAATGTTGCGAACGCTGTTGGATGGCTTAAGAGGGCGTGCGACACGGCACACTTGTTGTGCAAAAAAAATATGACAGCGGCTCTGCGTATTTGCAGCTCCTCCAGGTGCCTTCTTTATGTTAGGCTGTCGATTTTACACTGCTGCCCCAGGAGTGTTGTCTCGCAGTCCCTCCTCAGAGTCACGACAACAATATTTCAACTAAGCCTATTGAGCAACTGCAGAGGCGTTTTACTGTGAATACCAGGGTTCTAGTTTCGGTTCAGAAGCGTTAGCCTTGCCTTCATAGATGCTCGAGGAGGCGCAGGAGCCGCCTTCGCGGGGGGTTCCTCAGACTCTTCGAGTTCTTGCTGCAGCTTTTTGCTGCAGAGCACCGCAAACAAAGACAGCAGCAGCAGCGACAATAGCCACAACAGCAGGAATAGTAGTAGTAGTTGACTTTCGTTGCCTCAGCCAGAGCCAACCGAGCTTCTGCGCTTTTTCCGCTTTGCTCCGTGCAGACGAAACTGGTGCTCTGCCTCGCTAAAACACTGCCGACAGGCTTCTACCTTCCCATCATGCTCCACGCATGAGCAGACAGCCGCCTCTCTCCTTCATACCATCAAACCCTAACACCGTAAAATGCCGTATATTTACGCTTACGGTAGGCCACTAGCCATCAGCCTCTGCTTCAGCGCCAACTCTTTCACGCGAATCCTCCGCAGCTTCATGGCTTCCAGAGGCGTGAGTTGCTGCTGCTGCAGCTGCTGCTGTTGGCGCAGCCGCTGCCTCTGCTGCAGCAGCACCTGCCACTGCCGCGGCTGCTGCTGTTGGCTCCCTGTGCTGCTCTGAACTGCCGAGGGCGTAGCTGCACTCCGAGTAGTCTTCCCTGCTAATGCTGCAGCCTTCTCCTGCTGCTGCTTCTCCTGCTGCTGCTTCTGCCTCTGCACCTGGCGTGCATGCGTTGAGCGGATCGGGGAAGAGGACTGCTGCCGGTGGAGTGTATCGTTTGCCATGGGGGATGAACCTCCTCTCCGCACAGTTGCTCCTGCAGTTCTGCCAGTGCTGGTGTTGCTTCTGCTGCTGTATGCGTTTTTCACACTGCCCGTTCTACGGTTCTCACTCCTTCCCATCCCTGGAGTGGCCTTGCTCTGTGGCTCTCGCTGCCTCGAAAGCTTCGCCGCCTCTTCCTCCCCCGTCGCTTCCCCTTCACGCGCAGCGTTTGCTGGCACCTCCGTCTCAGGGCAGAACGCTTTCTCAGGCCTAGACGCTTCTCCGACCTCCGCATGTGATGGCCGTTTCGAACGGAAAACAGCTCTTCTACAAGCCTCCTGTTTTGCTGCTGCTGACTGCGGCAAGGCCTCTTTTGTTAGCTCGCGTTTCTGCTCCGTAGGAGAAGTGATGACAGCAGAAGAGGCTGCGTTGTGCAGTGATGAGGCCGCCGCTACGCTAGTTCGCTGTACTTCTACTGCTGCTGGTTTTGCTGTTGTTGCTGTTGTTGCTGTTGTTGCTGTTGCTGCTGTTGCTGCTTGTGCTGCTTGTGCTGCTTCGGCCTCAAGTGCAGCCAGTGCTGCTTCTGCCGCGGCTGCTGCCCTTTCTGCTGCTGAACTTGTCTTTCCATCTGCTGACGGCTTCCAGGGTGCCTGCTGCTGCATCGATGGCGATTGTGTTTTAGGGGTGATGAGAGGAACCGGAAGGATACAGCCAGAGGCAGCTATAGACGACGAAGGCGGCTCTTCCTTTTGCTGCTCTTTCTGTTGGTGCTGCTCCTTCTGTTGGTGCTGCTCCTTCTGTTGGTGCTGCTCTTTCTGTTGGTGCTGCTCTTGCTGCTTCTTGTTTGTAACTAGGTCGGACCGGATTTTTCGCAGTCCCCCCTGTTGTTCTTGTGCCTGTTGCTGCTGCAGCAGCTGCAGCACAGCATCCGAAAATGGATCGTGCAGCCTCCGCTGAGACGTGATCATCGTTGCACTCTCGCGCTTAGCAGCTCCCACTGCTGCCCCTGCTTCCGTTGCCTTTGCGGAAACTGCTCTTCTAGATGGTGTTGCCGCTGCTGCTGCGCGACAGGCTTCTGGTGATCCTGACGGCTTTGCCAGTCTTTGCTTGCTGAAGCCGCTCGAGCAGCTGCACGGACTTACAGAGAGGCTGGAAGCGGCGATGGAGGTGGGGGGGGGCAGCGTCAAAGACTCCTCTGCCGATGCAAGCGGAAAGAGACGCATCTGCTTCCCTCTGCCTGGGGGTGTGATTCGACTTTCAAAGGCTTTGTCGGCTAATTTATGGCAAGCTGCTCCTCCTGTTGGTCCCCCTGCTGCTGCAGCAGCAGCTGCCTCCGGGAACTGGCGTAGGCGGCCTTTGCTGCTGCTTTTGCTGCAGTCCTCCTGTCGCTGTCTTTCTGCGAGCTCCTTCGAAGGCTCAACTGGGAAAAAAGACGACAGACGCCCTTGCGAAGCTGAGCGCGCTGGTTCTGCTGCTACTGCTGCTGCTGCTGCATCGGTTGCCGCAGCAAGAGCAGCAGCAGCCTCCGCTGGCCTTCCCAGAGAGGCCTCTATTTGCTGCATGAGAACGTCCAACACGCGAATCACCTTCTGCTTCTGCTCGCAAGCTGCAGCAGGACTGGCGCTTCTTCCAGCCGCTGCACTTTGTCGAGCTAGTGGAGATCCAGAGGTTGCTCGATACTCAGAGTCTTGGGAGGGCCTCATCGGGCTGTTGCTTCGCTGCCGCAGTGGCTGCTCTGCAGGCACAGCGCTTGAAGTTGCCGCCCATCTTGCGACTGCTACGCTTTTGTTTTCCCCTGCAGAGGTGTTTACCGCCTTCTTGGGCGTGTTGAACGCTCTGTGAGACGTCGAATATTGGCTGTCCTCTCGCGGGGGTGCTTGTTGTTGTTGCTGGTGGTGCTGTTGTTTCATTTGCGGCCGCTGAAGCCCTAGAGAGCTGCTTCGCAGTTTCTCGCTGCCGTTTCTGCTGCTGCTGCTGTTGCTGCTGCTGCGGCTCCTCCCTGCAGAAGCAGCAGCAACACAGCCTTGCCTCTGAGGCTTTTTACAAGACGCTTCTTCCTGCTGCTGCAGCCGCTGTGCGAGCCTCCTTAGCCGTTCAGCGAGGGCCTTTCGCTCGAAATCTAAAAGCGTCAGCTCCTCGTGGTGTCCAATTGCTGCTGTTGCTTTTGCTGCAATTTTTGCTGCTGTTTTTGCTGCTGCTTCTCCTTCAGAGACGTGAAGACTCCTCTGGCTGTGGAGACCTTGTCGGGGTGTGTGGAAAACTTGCCGCAGCATCCTGAGGAGCAACATCCGGCAGCAGCGCGCCCTAATTACAGATGTTGAAACGCTTACGCACAGCATACAGCATCACAGCCGTACGGGGGAAGGGCAGACATGTGGGCGTGGCAGCCGCTGCTCGTGCTGCCGTTGCGAGGCTATTTTTTCACTTACGACTCCAGTGAGGTCAGCAGCTTGAGTTCGTGTTCCTGCTCTTGCTGCTGTTGCTGCTGCATGAGGCCGAGGGGCGAGAGACTTCTGCTGAATTCTTCTTGCTGCTCTTGCTGCTGCTGCCTCGGCTGTCGTTCTGACGGCTGCGCTTGACTTGGAAATCGCGGGTTTGCAGCCATACATTTCATTGCCAAGTGTCTGCGGCTTCTGGATGCTGCTGCTGCAGCTGCCGGTGTACTGGGGCCGTGCTGCTGCTGCTCGAGCGAAAGTTGGCTCCTCATTCTCGACTGCGCGGCTGGCGACTCGTTGCTAGAAAGCCTCCCTCTGGAGCCTGCGCTGCTGCTTCTGTCATCTCTGCTGTGAAGGGCGGCAGCACATGCAGCGGCTTCCTGAGGCTGCTGCTTTGTGTGGGGCAGGCGCGTGGGGGGTGAGAGTGTCAAGCCCCTCCCTCGCGTCCTTCGTCTTATTTGCGCTGATTCGGCTGTTGCTGCTGTCGCCAAAACAGACAAGGCTCTGCTGCACTGGATTCCAAGGGCATCCTGCTGCTGCTCTACCGGCAGCCTTCCTGCAGGGGGACTGCTCAGTTGCATCGGGGGATGCTGGCGAGGCAGAAGAGGGAGGGGTGTCGAGAGCCTTTTCGCGCTTGCACCTAAACCCTTCCGCTTGGCACAGTGGATGTTTCGCAGGGGCTGGAACTGCAGAGACTGCTGCTGCTGCTGCTGCTCTCGCTGCTGCTGCCTGTGCAGCAGCACCAGATCGTGTCTCCTCACTTCATCCTCCAACTGAACCTCCGCTTCAGTCACTAGGAGAGGCTCAAGCATCTCCACGATACTCGACGCATGCGCCGCAGCAGATCGTGGCTTTGCAAGGCCATGCCCCTCCAGCCCTCTTTCCCGCTGGGAAGCAAGCGACTTTGCTTCGCTGGTGCTCAGCCGTTGAAGGGGAGAAGGACAGATGGCAGCAGCAACAGATCCGACCCCGCCTTTCGCGAGACTCTTGCCGCGCGGCTTTCTTGCAGCAGCAGCAAAAGCGGCAAAAGCCGCTGCTGCTGCCGCCTCCTGCCCCTCTCTTTCCGCAAACGGCACAGAGCTGCCTCTCGATCCAGCCTCTTCGAGAGCAGCTCCCTCCTCACACCCAGCATCGTCCATGCCACACAGCCTCCCCTCGTCATTCCCTTCACCACTTTCATACCCAAGTCTCTCCCCACCGCTCAGGCTGGCGTTGCCTTTGCTGCTTTCAACCCCCAGGTGACTGCGAGCCCGCAGCCGCATCACACGTCGCCGCAACAGAGCACGCAACTCCTCAGTATACAAACACTTTTCTGGATCTATTTCAGAGGCTTCCAACATAGCCAGCTGGTCGCCAGACACGCTGCTGCCTTCCCCGCTGCTCCCCCTTCTTCCCGACGCAGGATCACGCGCTCGAACCAACGCCAAATCCATCCAAGAGAGTACCCACCAAGCTAGCCCATCAGCGTCTACGCAGAGGCAACATCACACACTCAAAGAGAACGGTTAATAAAAACAAATGCCACACATACACATATATACACACATACACATACACATATATACACACGTACACAAACATACATACGTACACAAACATACAAATACACACACATACACATTTATTCACACGTACACAAACATACACACATACACAAACGTACAAACACATAATGCACACCCGAAGCATTGTTTGAAATTCTTGTAACTCTGGGGCCTTTACCGCAGCGCACAGGCTGCCGGAGGTGCTGCAAGTGTTGTCTGGCACTGACACGAGGATGGCTCACCGAGCATAAGACACAGCAGGAGGAGGCTTGGTGCCTGCTCCTGCGTCAAGCCGATGCGGTGCAAGAGGCTTCCACCGGCAGTAAATGCCGCCTTCGGAGATTCTGCCGAAGAAGGAGCGTCCGAAGCATCGTCATCGCTGGATCCCGAAGTATCAGCAGTGCGTTTTCTTCGCGGGAGGGCACAAAGGCAAGCCAGCTGCAGCAAAAAAAGGCGGGCAGGAGGCCTTTCATTGAATGCGATCGGCAGAGAGACGAGCAGCAAGGCCAGGCATGCGAAGCGAGCACAACAGCAAGCGAGCAGCCAGCATGCATGCATGCATGCGGCAGCTCATAGGGAGTGAATATAGATATACATATATATAGACTTACCAGAATCAACGAATCACGCATCGCGTCGAGTTCCCTTGCATCGGCTGCAGCAAAGCCTAAAACGGAGCGTAGCAGCTGCTGCTGCAGCTCGATCTCCTTACGCGACCAGCTGTCCATAAGCTGCCACGTCTGCTGCTGGTGCTGCTTCTGCTTCAGCTGCTCTTCTTCCTGCCTCGTGAGCTGCTGCAGCTGCTCTAGAGAGTGCGCAAACGAGTCGACTCTACCCAGAGCAGCCGCAAAGTGCTGCTGATGCCGCTGCAGATGCAGCCGCAGCTCGTGACCCTTCCCTGCACGCTGCAAGACAGCATCAGCCGCAGACTCCGCCTCTGTACCCAGCCTTAAAATGCCAGCATAGCAAGTTGCTATCTTTTGGAGCGTCGCTTGAGGATCGCTGGACCCCCTGCTAGTCGTGCCAATGCGAAGAAAGCGCATCTGCGCAAGCCGCTGCTGGTTGTCTTCCAGCTCTGCTCGCAAGCCTTGCAGCGTCCGTAAGGTCTCCCCAATGCGCCTCTTCAAAGATCTGCTGTGACTGCCTGAAGATCACGCAAAGAAGACGCATGCGCATTACAAGCCGCGACTATTTTCACATAGCCTTTCGCGTCTCTGGGAGTCTGCCGCCTCGAGAGGCCCTCCACCTCCATGCCGGCATTTTGAAGCCTCAGAGAGAGACTCACGGCGCTGGTTTTTCACGTTCGCGAGCAAATCAGGAATGAGAGAACCGCTCTGAGAGGCATCCACGAGCCTCAAGAAGCACTTCCAAGTAGACAACTGTACGGCGTCGGTGAGACAATTGCGAGAAGACTGCAGCCCACACCCGCGCAGCAAAGACAGACGCACCAATGGGAGAGAGAGAGAGAGACGCTGACAGCGAAACAGGGAAGACACGCCTTTCTGCTCTGGGAAACAGACAGCCTTTAAGTCAAGAGTCCTCCACCAGGTCTCTGCTGCTGCTGCTGCTCTGCTCGGAAGCTCCTTTAAACAGCTGAAGCCTCTTGCGAAACGTATGTAGAAAGCTTTTACGGGCGAAGCTCCTTCTTGCAGGGTCCTCTAGGGTTAGCAAGAAGCACGGCCATTCAGGAAGGCAGGCAGAAAGAGAGAGAAAGACAGAGAGACATGAAGAGAGCGAAAGAGAGAAAGCAGACAGAGAGAGACGGAGAGACAGAGAGAGACAGACACAGAGACACAGGGAGAGAAAGGGTACTTGCACGGAAAAGGATCTTAAAGAGAAAAGCTTACCGCACTGAGAGAGCGCCAGGCGGGAACAAGACGTTTCACCAGCTCTTCCCACCCAACTACCCAACACCGCGTGTTGTTGTTGCCGTTGTTGTTGCTGTTGTTGCTGCTGTTGCTGTACTGGACGTGCGTGCTGTCAACACCTCTCTCTCTGGCAGCGGCAAGTACTGGCGATTGCTGCAGCAAAGGCTTCAGCTGCTGCACGACGATGGAGTCTTTCTCCGATGAATTTGCTGCATTCTCAGGGAGGCTGGGAGGCACACCATGGGCTGAGGCGGCCACGCGCAGCAGCACGTTGCTGCTGCCTTCTTTGCGTGCCCTCGCAAGTAGCTGCAATCCTTCCGGAGAACCCTCACGCAGAAATTCAAGGTAAGCAACCTCGCCTGAGAAGCCCTCGGTGACGATACAGCTCAGCATCTGCTGCGCTGCAACAGATTCCACGACGAGGGGAGGAACCGCAGAAGCGTTTTTGCTTCTGCTGCTCGAAACAGAAGACTCTCTCGGGGGATGAGGCCAAGCGGTAGAGGAGGGGGAGTGGAAGGGGTGGCTAGTGGCGGGAGCTTGAGCGTCTTCTGGAGCGCTGCTGCTGCTGCAACAGCTGATCGCCTTGTCCTGAAGCAGTTTCACTGTGGGGAGGCTCTGCTGCCGATGGAAGCTCCATGGTGTATCTGATGAAGAGCTCCCCGAAAGGGATACCTCTGACACACCCTCATGTTTCGAACCCTCGCTAAGAGATGCCGCTCGCCACTGCAGCAGGCCGCCCCCTGGTGTTGCGACTGCATCTGCCAAGAACTTCTGCTTAGAAAAGGCTTCGCACAAGGAGCTCCCTGCGTTGCAGGAGGAAGAGAGCAGGCTGTCTTGGCTAGCCAGCCGCTCACCACTAGGGAGAGAAGTGACTGTGCTACGAGATTGATCCCGCGCTTCCCCCTCGGGAGGGATGTGAGGAGGTTTCAAACAAGTCAGACCCTCTGAATCCATTTTTAAATCAAGATTCGGGGACTCGGGGGCTGGATGAGCCTGAGGATTCAATGTTCACCACGACGCAGGAGCAGGCACTGGGAAGGATGAATCCTACAGGGAGGTCAGGGTCGAGCCAACTACTGTGGCCATATTCAATGAGCTCTTGGCCCCAAAGATATCTCTTTAAGCTGCTGTGGGAGGAACAAGGGAAGCAAGATGAGAGGCACGACGGGGGAGACACATTCGCCACTTCTCGAACGACCCGGTTCCATGGAGGATACATAGAGCGATTTGGGGCCGGTGACGCAGACTGCACCGCGCCGCCTCACAGAGATAACCGCATCAAGAAGCCAAAGTACAGCATAAATGCAGGTCAAAGAGGGGCCCTTGAAGGCGTCCCTAATGGTTGCATGGATGCACACTGAGCAGACACCAGCCTCCTCTGCCAACTGTCGGCAGCGACGGTCACGAAATGGAGGCGACTCAATGGGGAGTTCGGCGTCGGAACCTCCTCCAAAGAATCTGAAACTCGGTGCTTCTACGTCATCATTGTGTTTATTGCAAAAAAGATCAAGCCAAGAAGGAAAATTTGATTGAACAGTCGCAATATCGGCAGCCACCTAGGAGGCTGCCAGCCGGCCCCGCCCTTCCAGCCACGACCGTTGGCACAAAATTTTCTCACTCGCTCTATCCGGAAATGAGGCTAGAAAGAATCACCTTGGTGACATTAAAGCGAAATTATCCTTTCGCATGAAGGGCCTGAGAAGCACGAAACTACAGAAATATGATCATCAGCTGCGGGGTTCGAACCCCCAAACGGTAAGTGTCCTAGCTCTTGAGCCTACTCCAGCCATAGCGCACTGGCCCAACACCAAGGGGGTCTTAACGCATGCGTGGTACGGCACTTTGATTTTTCCTGCTTCTCATTCTTATCGTTTCACGCCTTTTTGCCTTCTCTAACACAGTTTGAATAGGATTTTCTGTATTTTGGTAGTAGATCAAGCTTAAAGGGCTCCTTCCTCGACGCGGGGTTGGTGTAGTGGTCATCACGTCTGCTTTACACGCAGAAGGTCGCGGGTTCGAGCCCCGCACCCCGTACCACTTTTCAACTCAAGAGCCTTCCCCACGCCTGTAGTAGGAGGCTTTTCGTGTGCTGATGCTTGCTGACGCAAAATCTGAAAGGCACGCCTAGCAGATCTATAGACGCGCCATACTCTGCTACTGCGGAAGAAGGCTGTTCCGTGAGATCCTGCTGTCCTTGTTTAGTGTGCACGCCACTGCTCCTACACACCCCTGGACTTGCTTTCGAGGTGAGTCTGTGCACTAGTCAACACGTATTTTTTACGAACAGAAAGCTGCGGGCTAACAGATGACCTAAGCAACCGCCGCTGCCTGAGCTACAGTCAATCACACTACATCTAAAAGATGACCCAAGCAACCGCCGCTGCTGAAGCTGTCGCTGCATTCGAGTCCCTCCATGGAGGCATTACATTTTTTACGGGCTTAAAAGCCTGAGCAGCCAATCTGCTGAGTAGCAGAAACAGGTAGGGATAGGGTGCTCCTGCTCAACTTAAGCTACCAAAGCCCCCAAGCAGATGCTGCTGCAATGGACCCCCTCCCACCCAAAAGCCGTGCTCTATATTCGGCACAAGCTGAGATCCTTCGGCACACGTCTGAAGAATCGGGCTACTAGTTAGCTCCGGCAGGAAGGGAAGGTGAGTCCGCCGCAGGAAATCATCCCTAAAATAACTCCGAGGATCTGCACAGACACGGCACGAAAAGCCCTCTTTAAACCCCCTAGAATGCTTGAATAGGACAAACTGTATGCAAGAGACCACACGCAGGGCACAGCGCTCACCGAGATACTCCCAAGGATCAGCGCAATGATCCTCACATTCCGCCACCACATGGCATCCTTTAATCGGCGAGCCTGCACGCACACGCCAAACCCCTCACCATGCATGCACACCCAGTAAGAAACTAACCAGTGGCAGCATACACACGCAGACCCTAAGCGCAAAAGCAAAAGTCTCAAATCGAAGCTCGAACCTGTCGTCTGAATGTCACGGCCTCCTGGTTAAGTTGCTCCGACTGATCCACCAGCAAATCTATGCGCTCGCCACGCTGCAGAATTTTGTCTGCGAACACGCAAGCCCTAAAACCACAACATCTCCTGAAGCTCTCACTTCCACGACTGACCTAGCCCGATCTCTATTTTCCAAGCCTTACCAATGCTGTCAATCATCACCGAATGAATGCCGTCAATCTGCGTGCGGATCTGCCGGAAATCGTCTACCGTCTGGTGGGTGTTGAACGAATCCTGTGAAGAAAGCCAGCAGTCTGAGCCACCCCTAGCCTATCTATGCCTCAAGTGTGAGTTTTTCTCTCTTGGGAAGATATGCCAGGCCAGTGCAAGTGGGCAAGCATCTAAAGCTTTATTTCTCGACAGAAAGGGGGTCTATTACGTGGTCTCGAGGCAGAGAGGTCTACCAAAAGGCGAAACTCCAAAACCTAGGCCCTTACAAGCAAGGCTTTCAGGGTGCTCTCCATGCTACCCTGTAGAGACAGCGCAATCCCTGTTTCTGCTGCTTCCCTGTACTGCGGCAAGAACCTGCAGCAAGAATGCACCATACCTGCTGCAGCACCAGGAGCATGAGAAGCGCATCATTTGCAGATCCAGAGGCATTCGGAACGCATTGCTCTCAGAAAGGAGGCATGAGCAGTCGCATTAACGCTGGCACTGACGACAGCAGTCGCAGCCTGAGTAGCTCACTCATTCTTCAAGGCCTCTAGGAAGGCGAAAGGCAGCGCGAAGCCCACACTGTCATCCGCCATTGTCAGAAAGGTTATGCCGTCCACCACGATATAGTGGAATACATACCTATGTGCACGCATGCGAAAATCCGCAGAACCCTTTCTTCAGACACGGTGAAGCACCCCGCGTCTGCCCCCCAGTGAAAGCCTGCACAGGAACCAGCAGCTCACCGGTCGTATATGTACGACATGCGTTGTTTGTTGGTTGGCAGACGACAGAGCAGGAGACGGGTAACCGTGGGGAAGTTCCCCTCGCTGTCTGCATGCTCACAGAGCACTACATTGCCTGGACGCACACCGCATACCCCAAACAGCATGCAAGAAGCTGTGGGCGCATGGCCGCATACCGTGAGCTGCAGAGACATCTGGTCGTCTTTCGAAGGCCGAAACGCGCACAGAAAAGCACGGGGGAGGCTTTCACGCGCAGTCAAGGGTATTGGCTGCCAAGCACAGGTGTCGGCACGAATATAAGCACTCCGACAAGGCTTCAGCAGCGCAGTGCAGGACTACCAGAGGCAGTTGCTGCAAAGGGGCTGCGCGCATGTAGGAGATTATACGGCAAACAACTTACCCCGAGCCACAAGGGCGTATATTAGCGGCATCCTCCGGGAGCTGCCTACCACCGGAGGGCTAAACCCTGCCCTGGGATCAGCACTATTGGCAGAAGGCGCTGGAACGACAATTCTAAGCTCTGTATATCCCAAAGTTTGAAGTTAAAATGGAGTGAGGAAGGTTAGAATGCCAGCATGCGCAGGCAGCCCGCAACCCGAAATTCTATCCCTTGAGCCTCAGAAGTGTCAAAAAAAAGATAAAGAGCGCACTTTAGAGGGGTCCAAAATAAGAAAAACGCACATATAATAGATAGAAGAAACTTGAAATACGACACCCAAGCCCTAAAACCGAGATGCCCTCGCCGCCGGCTGGCAGCCCGTGTTACTAGACGCATCGCAGCGGCAGCGGTAACATGGATCGAGGCTGTGGTCGAGGTGGAGCTTCTGTGTATTTCGCAAAAAGACTTCTGTCGCATATACACGGACAAGTAGGAAGCCGTGTGTCTTTAGATGAGGAGCCTGAACGTGAAACCTTGCTCTAGGAGCCTGCTGCAGACGGCAACCGCACCCCCCCAACCCACTGGTCTCTATGAGGAGGAGCTTCGGTGCTCTGCCTCAAGGTGTCTGTGCACCCTGTGACACACTGTGTGCTCTGCTCGAAAATATGGCTCGTGAGCGCATTAAAGAACGTCTGCAGACACCCGGAATACACCTGAGAGTAGGAGACGATAGAACTTGGGACGGGATCACCGTCAAGCATATAGGTTCAGCTTCTCAATCAGCTTGGCTGAGAGGCCTCAACCCCTGACCCAGAATAGAGCCTCATGGACTACTAGGATCTATCTCGCCAGCGCGGACGGGCTGCAGCTATCCATGGACCCTCAAAGTATATTTCCAAGAGTTACTAGTGCAACTCAGGCCACCATACACAGAATGCGCGCATGCAGGCCTTAAAGTGCCAACGCTAGACTTGTATGCACCTGCACAGTGCTTTCGCCGCTGGCTCGGGCTGTTTCTCGCCGTACGCCGGGGCGTAGTGTAGGTGGTCAAAAGGTGCAATTAGGTATGTGCTACCCATTAATTGCATCAAAAAAAACGACCAGTGCCTGAAGTGTCGCTGCGTATGTACAGCTTGTTTGACAAGCAGGGGACTAGATAGCTCCATTTCTAGGAGGTAACACGGTGTACCCGGGCATGCACAGTTTGGTTGTCTGTGGACAACTGGGTGCGAATGTGTCCCTGCTCGGCATGTTTAACGCGTACGACAATACTCACGTCACCTGATTATGCTTATCCCTTTATGCCGAAATCCTGCGGGTGGAGGACACTTTTTCTCTAGGGCATCTTATCGAAGGAAGTTTGGGGGTGGGGGGTGTCCTTTGATGGGTACATTGGAAAGAACATCGCTGCACCTTATGTTCATGGACTTCCTCAGCAGTGTGCCTCTTACACCTTGCCACAGCATCCCTGGCCAATTCGTTTTTGCCAACGAGAGAGCTACGAGGTCAGTGCTTGCTCATGCTCCGCAGCCGTACGACTTCAGCTTTGTAAAACTGATCACACAGGCTCTTGATGCAACTCTCACCCTTCCGAAAATTGCTTCAGCGACGCTATGACTTTTCATGAACTTAACTGTTTTCTGCTTGCCTTCGGGTTCTGGGTTGGAGGATTGATGGGTAGAGGAGAGCAGTGTAGCTAGCATGCCTTCACGACAGGGCAATTGGTGTAACGCTTCATCTAGATTCCCTAGGGAATGCTTAAGCGCAGACTCTGGTAGCGTCAGGCTTTCACGGAGCTGTGAATATTCTCTCGTACAACACTCTCTGTGGGGGCCTTTTCCAGTGCGCCTGCAAGCCACCTGCACGGCACCCTGCTGCGTTTGCCCCTTCAATAATCTGGTTTGCTTTGGCAACTGGCTGGGGGAAAATCCCTACGACGATGGGCGTTGAAGACACCGCAACGCCTGTTGGGGCGACACAAGCCAGCCTGCAAATTGATATAAGCGCAGTAGCTTCACACCCGGTGAAAAGGCTCGCATTTTTAGCCAGTAAAGTGCTCATGGATGTGCCCACGTGGTTCTGCCGACCAGAAAATATATGTGCCACAAGTGTGGGCATGCACTCCAGCACTTCATCAGTTGTTGGGAGATGTCTCTCGCTGTGTACCTACAATGTAAAGAGAATTCAGTGCTCTTCGCCACATGCTTATTGAGGGGCAAGGCACTTCAATAAGAATGTCGCCTGCCTGCAAGGGTTACTGCAATTAAGGGCTCCATACAGGCTCAGACGTTTTAAAACAAGTTGCTTAAGTGCCGAGACAAGCTAAAATCGCGAGCTTTGGAAGAATTTACACTCTAAAGTCTTCTAATCTGTTTAAATATCGGTATGTCAAAGAATATGAAGCTTTGGTTCACAAATGCCCCCACAACGTATACGAACACTTTCTCTATCATTTGTTTATCTCGAAACACACGAATTTCACGAGAGGTGGCCAATGGGTGTGTAGCGACTCAGCCATTAAACAACCGCCCGGTGGGGCTTCCGCAAGTGATGAACTTGTTGAGGTTTTAGGACCGAATGAGCGCACCGCACACGTGTCTGGCTGCAAAGTAAGAACCAAGTCGAGAGCTTGAATCTATGGATGTTGAGGTTGTGTCAGCTGGCCTCAGCCCACAATAGGAAGCTAAGAAATTCCGCCCTTATGAGCATCCCAAGCCGCTCCTTCCCCACCAATGCACCTGTTCCTATTCTGGGAAATTTGGTCATCTGGCCCGAAGCTGCGGGCGCATGCACAAGCAAAAAGACTTGAACGACGGGGGCTGGACCCAACAGAAGCAGGCTGCTTGGCAATCAAAGAAGGCTCAAATAGACTTCGGAAAGCCTCACTCGCAAGCTGCAGTGTAGTGAAGGGGAATAGAGGGGATAAAGCCAATGTTGGCGACTCACCAAGGGGCAGGTTCTGCGCCAGCACAAGTTCACATCAATGCTCAAGAATTGCTAGCGTTACTTGATATTAGATGTGGAGTGGATCACGTTTCACATCTAGAGACCGCAGAACAGTGCAATATACCTGCTAACTGGTCTACGCGGGCAGCAGAATAAAAGGATTGGCAAGGGTATGCAGCTGAATCCCTCCCACCCAAAATAAGAGAGGATGCTTTCAGAATGGTCTGTGACTTCAGCCACGGCTCAGTGCTTCATGACGTAATCCTAGATATGCCATGGATGAACTATTTCAAGTATTGCATACGGCCACAGCTGAGCGCTGTAGTGGCTAGTGCGCCGAAAATGTGCCGGGCGAAACGGCTTCTGGTCTCCTCAAAACGTTTATTTCATTAATGGTGACCAGGGCAGAGTCACTGCCTCAACAAGTTGAGGCAGAGTCTCCATGCGGGCAGCTCAGCAGAACAACAAGAGAAAACGGTGATTTCCCATGAAGCACGTATTACAAGTTTCGGCGAAGCTGTTTTAGTAGGAAAGCACACTGACCCTTTAGCCGAGCAGTAGTAGGAGTGGCAAATAGCAAGGACTAATTCGCAGATGTGCTGAATAATGACAAGCCGCCAGCACCCTGGCTACCCGCTGGTCGTCTAGCGCACTCTATTAAGCTAATTCGTGGGTTGGTCCAATCTATGCTTTGCGGTTACCGGAAACCCCACACCATGAGGAGGGAATACTACGCGACCAGAAGAGGACAAGAGTTGGCGCACGCGCGGTAAGTTCAAGCCCCTGAACACGATCTCCGCAAAGCACACCTTTCCGATGCCTTTGATTGGCTGATCGATTAGTAAGCCACACACATCAGCAGCTCACGCGACATGTGACTCCATATTACAAATTCGTATTTACCCATTTGACAGACACAAAACGCCCTCATGGGCGGGCGCGCATCTGACTAGATAAATTTCATTCTTGAGTTTACTCGGATCGATGCGTCTTCACTGATAGACTCTAAACAACGCAGTAGATATCCAGGAAATGGGAGACTGATGCCGCAACAAGTCCTATCAAGCGCCTTACACCTCCAGTAGCATTCACATCTCCCGATTTTGTGCCAGTTTTTCTTAACAGCCTATGCTCGCGACGTAGCGATGGGTATAATTTTTCTCTACACTTTATGGATCTTTTGCAGCACCAAATTATTTCTTGTTGCTCTCGTCGCCTCACCGAACCCAAGCAGCGATACCATAAAAGGACTTCCATGCAAAGTGATGGAGCATGAAAAAAAGCTGCACTGCCTATATGGGCGTCGTTTTGGTGACTACACCGACCATCAGTCTTCGATGTACCTTAAAAAGAGTTTTCACTTCTTTGATAGCCCCAGAGTTGTTTGCTGGCTTGGTTGCCTCCTGCAGTACGACATCGGTGTGAAGGATATTGATGGCATTGGCTATGTGGTTGCCGACGCTCTCTCGTGGCGCCCCGGCGGCTCACTTCCGTGCAGCGCATCCGCTCTTGTCTGAAAAACTTATGGTGTCTCGGATAACTGCCCAGATCTTTTGCTTGCGACACCCATGTATCCACTTCTATTGCCAAAATCCCGAATGGCAAAAGGGTAAAGCGCCACCCCTTTAAGGATGGCCTGCTGTGGCTGAAAGCAATGCGGAAATTATGTTGCTTGAACACTTCGACTTTGCTCCTTAGACCCATTTTGCAGAACGCGCAGAGTGATGCTCTTTCTGGCCATGGTGCCATTCGAATCGCAATTGAAAAGCCCTCCTGGCCCTTCACCCTGCCTAAGGCTCGCCGTGCGGCAGAGCAGCGTGCACTGTCCTGCCCAGATTGCCAGCAACTGAAAAGGCACAATTGTCCAGAATCCAGGCTTTTGCAAAGAGTTTTGTTCCCTGGAGGATTTGGAGTGATCTGGCTACGAACTTCACTATTGGACTATGGCAGGTCAATGATCCAGGTAGCATTTGCATCGTAGTGGATAGATATACTCAACAGATATGCCTAGTTCATCCTTTGATCCAGCGCTGTCACGGCGTAGGAAGTCACTTAATATTCTAACCTCATTTCTGGAGTCTGTATGTATTTCGTGGCAGTATCGTTATCAATAGATCCCAAGTTCTTCAATGCGTTATGGCGTGTCTCTGACCCACCTACACATCGAAAGTAATATGACCACTGCAAGCCACTCCGAGGCAGATGGGAAGACAGAGCACGACATTCGCACTCTTCTGCAGTGCTTACGAGTTTAAGTTAACACAAATTCGATTGTTTGGCATGATTCTCTTCGGTGCGCTCCGTGAGCTCATGAAACAATAGTACACTCGTCTACCCGTTATTTTCTAGCATCCCTTGGCCTACACTGAGGAGCTCCTCTCCAATCCCTTCGTGTACCTGGTGGACCGGGCTTAGTAGCGACCCTGAGGAATGGAGGGATTTAGAGAACGTCTGGCCAGTGCACGCGAATGTATGCGCAAACCTCATGAGCGACAATGACGTCCTTATGATGAGCGGCGGTTGGCAGTGTTTCTAGCCTACATATTTGGTCCTTGTGAGCCAGCACGCTGTGAGATGTGCAGCCAAAGGTGAACAGGCACATGAATTTGCAACGACGTGGCTAGGACTGTTTGCCATGATCCTTTGAGCCAATGCACTTTCCTACCCCCTTTCGATATCCCGACGAGTAGCAGGTGTACCAGAATTATCGTTAGCGGCTTCTCAAAAAAAAATTGAAAAGAATCCATGAATTATTCATGGACTTTGCCAAACAGGCAACTGACTCATGTTGGTGCGGAAGGTTCAGAGAAAGCCGTAGAGGTGCTGGATTCTAGGACTCTTGAGCGCCGAAGACACAATAGACGGGAGTTGTTGCTAGTGATATGTTCTGGGGGACGTCAGCCTCTATGGTTGACGGAGGAGCGACTTCTGGCTTTGTTCGTTGCAGGAAAATGCGTGGCTTTGTTTGGTCAGGAATGCTAGTCGCCATGGACGGTTTTGCCTCGGATCCACAGGTAACACGTTTTCTGCCTGAAACAGCCACGTTAATCAATGGGTATTGGATAAAAAGCTTCCGGCTATTAGTAAGGTGTCCCCTAAACTCAGACTTTGTGCGCATACAGTCTCAGCTATGTTTTTACTACATTTCCCCTCCTGCCAGTAAGGGAGCACACAGTTCGCCTATGTTTGCATGCAGCATAAGCGAATATGCATAAATAGCTTGCTCTAAGAGTTCAGGATGGACTGCTGGACGATGGTGTATTTTGATTCCCTTTACTAAGTTTGGTTTTTTCGTTTTTTTTTGTAGTAGAGGGCTGACATGTCTTGGATCGGGCAAATCTACACTTGAATACTACCTACTACACCAGCTATATTTGACTAAGGATAAGCGAAAAATTGACCAATTGGATTGTTCTCGTACTACTTACTGCAGAATGCTATTATATTCCCACAAGAAGGTGCAATGTGCTCAAGGTGCTTCGCGCGACTGGTCGTGAATCATCAGAGTACGTGTAGGATGCAGCTGAACGCACTTTGGCTGTCCTTTCTTCTCACGCCTGGAACTCTGAGCGATGCAAATAGCTGAACGAGAGGCTTCTTTTCGTAAACATTCAATAACGTTCTATGAAGTCTCTGCTCAGTCTGGACAGCAGTGTTCCCTCATGGAGCTTATGTGGAGCGTTACTGTCACCGACGCGCGTCGGGGTCATGCGAAGATGCATTTGGGCAATATTCAAGAATGAATTTATGTGTGTTGCTACCTCAAATTTGAAACTGTACCCTTGCGCGCATATGCTGAAATGCCTCCATGATTATCTATTAACTGACGCGCGTGCCCGCTGATTGATGCGTCTAGTGCGTTGCTAAATTGAACATGCATAGCCTGGCGCTAAGAGGACGTCGAAATTTCACTTCAGGCCTGTAAGTAAATATGGCGCCTCCTGGATGAAATGCAGCTTTGATCTCGCTGTCGTAGCGGCTCCACGCCCTGTTTGTGCAGGCAGTCTTGCTGCAGACCTATCTCGAAGTTCCTGCACATCGCGCTGCGATAGCGAATTATCGTCAGCGAGGAGCTTCGCTTATCGAATGGCGCTTCTAAAGGCCACCCGACACACCATGCTCTTATCCGTGCACCTCAAAAATTGTGAATTTAACTAAAGGCAAGCTTGCTTTGCCAGTAGGCGTCAACTATTGGGGCGTCGTTGACGGTAGCAAAAAGAATCCATAGAAAGGCGCACAGGTCTCGGGCACCTGTGGAGGCCTGTGCGCTCTTGAGCAAAATACGACTGCCGCTTTTTTGAGGGGGGGCCGCATAGCCAGCCCTTGCGTGCCGCTGACTGCTCAGCCTTCTTTTCTCTTGTGTTCTTTAATTGTGAGGGACTATATCTGCATCCCAGGTGGCGCCACCACAGCCCTTAAGGGTGCGTCTTGTACGACGCGTTCTAGAATATGTCTTTCCAACAATGCCGATCCTCCTTCCGTTCCCATCCCTCTTTCGCCTTCTCCCTCCTCTCCTTCTCTGCCTCAACTCACCTCTCTCCGTTCCCTCCTTCCGGCCTCATGGCTGCTTGCACACTGGGAGCTGCTGGCAGCTTTGTGCAGGGGTCGCAAGGGCCAGGCATAATGCGTCTCGCTCCTGTTGCTGCTGCTGTTCCCGCTGCTGTTGGTGCTCCGCCTGCCAAATTGCAGCCATCATTCGGCTGAGCGGCACACATCCGCTGGCCATTTCTTCTCGAATGCAGGTGTCTATTTCGGGGGTGATCGCTATGCCCACTCGATTGAGATAGCCTCTAAAGCTCTCGGAAGGCACACAGGATGACAAGAAGAGGGAAGTAAGCCGCAACAAGAAGGCTCTTCGGTCCGCTCCCTCCAGCTCCTCTATGGGGGTATCTTCCCAGGGCTCGTAGTGCACGAATAGCGGGTTCAAGATCTCCGATGTGGTGGCTGCCCCCGTTCCTGCCACAGACGCAGGCGGCTCCCACGTCACAGCATTCCTCGGGGGGTCGATGAAGGCGGTTCGCTCCGCCGCAAGAGCTGCAGTTGCGGCGTCGAGAACTTCGCGGGAAACGCCAAGGCCCCCCCTCCCTTGGGCCGCCTCGCCTTCAGACATGAGACAGCGCATGAAATCTTTGAATTGAATGGAGCCCCCAGGCCCCTGCAGAGAAAGAAGTCTCTCGAGATCTTCGGAAATTCCAAACCCAGCTGCCTTTAGGGCCCTCTTGAGGTCGCAGTCTCGCAGCAGACACCGCTCCCACTGCGCGAAGAGACGGCGAACCAAGGCGCCCTTTCCTCCGCCCAAAGGGTCTCCTATGGCCCCTCCAGATGCCTTCAGAGGCATTTTGGCTCCGCAGCTCGGGGCTGCAGATTCCTCCGACGACCAACAGGGAAGAGGCTCTTCGTCATCCTCTGCCGCGGCAAAGGAAAGAGCAACGGTGTCTGCATGCCGCTGCTTGTAAGGGTACGTCTGCAGCAGGAGGCTCTTGCAAATCACGAACCCGTCAGGCGTGACTTCGCAGAAGCGCAAAATGAAATCGGCTTCGGGGCTTCCAAACTGGATGCCCATGTGCGCAAGGCAGAGCGAAAACACCTCCGCAGTCAGCAGTCCGCTACTCCTCGAGGCGTCATGGCGCCGGAGCTCTCTACGGACAGCAAAAAGGAAGCGCGGGTTGCGTATGCTAAAGAGATACTGCCGATCAGAGGGCGACAAAGCTGCCGCACACGACCACTCCGGGCCGCTAGACAGCGGCCCTTGTCGAGCGCCTCTCTTGGTGCTCATGAAGAACGAGCGAGAAAAACGGGAGATCCTAGAGGCGGAGGACGCCCCGTTTGAAACGCGCTTCGGCTTCTTGCCGTGCGTAGTAACCGCGACGCGGGTGTATGTACACTAGACGAGACAACGGGACGAGAGAACCAGGGCGCCCCCGAGGAATCCAAATCCAGAGCAGTGGAAGAAGAAGAAAGAGATGGGGGACACACGGAGAGCAGCGCCTTTGATTCTTTGGCGCTGCCTGCGTTCCTTGCCGTACCGCGTCGTTCTGCCTGGCGGGGGTTCTTGAACAGGCTCGACTGTGGAAGGAAGGAGACAGCAGCCAGCAGCGGCTTCCCAGGGGTTCAAAGAGGGCTTCAAAAGCAACCGAAGTGCGGCTAGGAAGATGCTCCTAGAGCTTTGAAGTCGTCTGGTGCTGCTGCCGCTGAGGGTGCTGCTCTTCTGGGAATTGCGTTGGTAGAGTGGCTGTTGAGGGAAGGAGGGAGGGGCTGGAGCGAAAGGGCGAAGAACGGGAGGTTCAAGCTGGCAGCCGGAGGGCCTTCTGAGAGTGGAGGACACGCTTTTATCAAACAGTTGACAATAAATTTACTACGGCTGCATTCAGGAGTACGTGCAGCAGTTCTTGTGGTGCTTTTGCTGCCGCTACTGCCGCCGACGGCGAGCTGCTGTCACTGAGGCATGAGGCAAGAGCCGCTGGCGGAGATTTCGTTAAAAACCGCTACACAATCTCTTCGCCTCTTAACATCTTTTACTGTGTTTTAATATAGATAATTATTTGGCCTCTTTAGCAGTGCATGTGTCTACCTCCGACGTGAGTCGTCACACTCCCCCAATCGCCGTTGCGCCCAGACGTATCGGCAGGACCACTGGATCAGTTGGACGGTTTGGGAATTAGGGGGATGGGAGCAGCACAAAGTGCGCTTGAAGAGCCTTTAGAGGGTTGTGCTCGGGGGTTTCGCGTCGTGTGTGAGTACTTGTCTGTGCTTGTGCCGCCGGCTAAAAGCAGGCGTGTTCGGCCGTCGTGCATGGCACTTGCGCTGTGGCCTCTAGAGGGAGACCACGGAGACTGTCTGCTGCACAAGCTTCCCTTCCGAGCGCTTCTCGGGATGCAGGAACGCTTTTGAGTGCCAGCAGGACCGCTGCACCAGCAGATGCAGGAGAAACAGCAGCGCCAGGAGGTGCAGCAGCAGCAACAGATGCCGCCGTTGCTTCAGTGCGCAGCGGAAGATGTCTCAGGTCACCTCGCCGCATGCTCCTAGAGACTGCCCTCCCGTAGCTATGGACAGTAACAAGGAGGCCCATCCTTTGGCCTTCGTCAAGCCGACCATCCCTCCATTGGAAATTCCTTCCGCGGAGGTTCTGGATGACTCTGAGGACGAGAATCTGTTCCCGTGGGAGGTGGAGAAGAGCCCCTCCATTTGTTTTGTTTACTTGATGGATTCGAGTTACAAGCAGGAAGCTCAGCTGCTGCTGATGGTTGTATGGCCCTTGTTAGTGGTGCTCTCGCTGGTAAAGCTCGTCTTAGGCTTCTTGGGGGCCTTCCGGTACCTAACGGCCGCTGCGCATCCGACAGGGGGAAGCAACGTGCAGGCCATAGTTGCAGAGCTGCCTGTACACCGCAACATCTGGGTAGAGTCGGTGTACTGGGTGTCCCTCTTATCCTTCCTCTTCACCCAGACTGCCGTTGCAGGCAGCTACATGTGCCTTTTGAAACATCACATCATTGGACCTTCGCTGAAGCACTTCAAGCTGCACAAGGCCTTCGACAGAGGGCTCCTTCTGCACGCAGTTGCCGCAGCCGCCGCATGCTTCTCCCTTCTCAAATTGTTTTTAGGAGCTTTCCTTGGAGCTATCGTGACTAACGCCAGGGAAAACCCCCCAGTCTGGCCCTACTACGGGCACCACCAGCGGCACCTCCAAGAGCAACAGAGGCCGCTACAGCACCGCCAGAAAAGCTCGAAACCACCCGAGACGCCTTCCAGCACAAAGCTGTCCGCTGCTGTGAGCACCATCGCCGCAGCGGGCAGCGCAACAAGTCCAGCAGGAACAAGAGAAGTGCTACCATCGCCACTCTCACCAGCATCTCCCGAAATCGCATCAGTTACAGCACAAACAGCACCGCCAGAAGTCCTACCAGTGGCAGCAGATGCGGCAGACGCTCGACATCCACCACCAGCACAAGCTCCAGCAGCATCAAAAGCTCTACTACCACCATTACCACCACCACCACCACCAGCAACAGCAGCAGCAGAAGCACCCGCATCACCACTATTACCATTGGGACCTCAATTAGGGCTCAAGGATTCAAGTAGTCCCGAGCTGAGGTCACCAATGCTTGCTCGCGTACAACAGCATGGACAACTGTGGCAGCGGGGGCAGAAGATTGCTACACACCGGCACCTGTTGCAGCCTGAAGGAGGAAACCGTGAGAGGCATGTAGAGGGACAAGAGGCGCTTAGGACAGCAACCATGTTCCTGGAGTGGAAGAACACCCCCATCTCCCCACATGCATCCACAACACAAGCAGGCATAGCCGCACTGCCGGCAGGCCCTGAGGAATTTACCTCGCCCCTTTATAAGCCGCTGCTGATTTGTTGCTTTTGTTTGGATGTGCCGCTGCTTCTGCTACACACCGCTGCCTTCCTGTTACTGTGGCGAATGGCGAAGAAGGTGGGCAAGCTCTTTGGCATGCGCATGCCCAAGCTGCCCTTCTGAGAATAACCTCCTCCCTGCTGTCCGCCGAGGTGGCTGCAGCGGCGACAGCTTTTTCTGGGTGCTTTTGGCCGCCACAGCCAGCACAGGAGGCATCCTATCCGCGCACAAAAGGCAGCCTTTCAACACCCTGCAGGATGCAATAGGTATTGCACAAAAACGCAGAGCAGGGAGGGGCTTCGGCGGCCCCTAGATGCCAGTGGCTGTGGGTGCAGCTACAGCAGGAGCCGCACACACGTCCCTTTCCCATTCCGTTTCAGCGTTTTTGCACCTTTTCGGATGCGTCAAAAGCCGCATTGTTATTGCGAATGGACGCATATACGGATGCATGCAAGAAAGTTTCTGGCACTGCTGCCGTTTAGTGCCAAGTGCAGCAACGCACACAAATTTGTGTGCGTTGCCGCACGCAGCATATATATACATATATATATATATAACGGCCACACGGCCCAGGCGGTGGATGCATCCATAAGACGTTCACGAAGTGGGTTTCGAATAAAATATATTCCGGCAGGCATCACAGGATGCGTGATAGCCCCCGGCTACACTTTGTGACGCCATCGCAGCGGACGTGCAGCGTCGATTAAAGTCAGAGAAAACTATGCATAGGCATGCATTTGTATATATAGATATATTTAGCTATATATATTTACACATCAACCTCTGACAGACAGAGGAAGGACGCCGACTGCTGTGAAGAACAAAGAATCAGAAAGATGCGATGTAACGCGTTGCAGCTGCTGTGCAGTCTGAGCGCTTTGCACCAAAACTAGAGGTATTGCAGCTCCGAGAGAATAATTTTGCGTTTCGAGTTGCACACGACTAATTGAGAAGCAGCTCCATGGCTGCATAATCCGAAGGGGGAGAGGGCATGTGCCTGCGAAGAAGGTCAGCCTGCAGCTTGGCGTCCCCTTAGTGTGTGCGGGGGTTCCCAGTTGCCGCTGCAGGCGGTTAGTGCCACGGTCGTTTCACACATTCAGAGAGAGCAGTGCCACGAGAGTCCTGGAGTGGATTTTGATCGATCTCGAGGTTATTGTGGGCAGAAGGCGGGGGGGCCAGGGGGGGTGTCTTCCGGAGCCTTAGTGCCGCTGATACACGATCACCGACCACTTGGGAAGGCGCACAGAGAGAGTTCCTCCCTCTTGCACTTGCGCTTCGGGGGGACCGGCGCTGTCGTGCCACCCACCGAAATCGGCAGCCTGAGAATTCAGGATGAGCCGCAGCTTTGTCCCGCTAGAGAACGGGCACTGCACGACATACGTGCACCCCCCTTCCCACTGCCCCTCTCCGCAGTTCAGGAGAATCAGCAGATTTCCGCGAGTGAAGCCTGACACACGCAGCACAAGGGAGCATGTCAACGAGCGGTTAGGCGCGGCAGGAGGAGCACATGGCCGCGGCAGTAGCAGTATTATTGTTCGCCATCACCACTGGAAAGATTCAAAGAAAAGCATACAACGGCACGCACACGAAGCCCACTGCACACACACAAAACACACGACTTCTGCGGCCTCAGAAGCGCACAGCACAGAATTGCATGATGCACATTGGCTGACGAGGACAGGTAGACTGAAAAAGAGAGACACACCGAACTCCCCAAGCTGGCACAAACGCGCAGCATACACATGCCCCAACAAGAAAATGCAGCAATCACCGGCAAGGCCACCCTCCCTCTTGAGCCAGACCCCCGCATATCCATATATATATATATATATATATATATATATATATATATATATATATATATATATATATATATATACACGTATACACACAAATATATATAAATATATATGTATATATATATATATATATATATATATATATATATATTTACCGATGCATACATATCTGCATATACATACATACATACACACATATATGAATAATTATATGTAGATCTGTGTATGCCGGCCCTTGAGTTGTCGGAGATGGTGGCTATCTTGCAGGGATACAGCGCTATTTAGAAACACAGAAAGCATGCCCCGGGAGAGGGCAGCGTGGGATTTTTTCGCGCAGGAGACGGACGCCCTTGGTCAGAGACTGTCTCCTGCAGTTATGCACGCTGTGCAGACAAAGCTTTTCGGTCGAAGACAGCGCAGTCAGTTTTTTTGAGGGGCTGCTTTGCTTCTCTCTCTTTCCTTTTCTTTCTCGCTTTCTCCTTTTCCCTTTCTATTTCTCTCTCTTTCGGAAACCAAGGCTTCAAAAGGCATACCCAGGACGCGATTCGTAGAGTTCTCGTGGAAGAACTGTGGCGTGCAGTGCTCGTCCGTCAACTCGGGAAGGCTCAAGCGCAGACGATTGGCTGCTGCCACCTGAGGCGAAAAGAGGCTTGTGCAGAGGGAGATACAGAATTACGATCAAGCGAAGGCTGGCAAGCAGTGGAGGAGGTCAGAGCGATGGCGCGAAGAGGCTGCGGAGTAAAGACGCGCGGCGAAACCCTCAGTTGAGCACCTAACTCCCCTCACGCAAACACGGCGTTGGAGTGAAAAACGTGCATAGCAAGAGACTTTCACTTGAAAGACAAGACAGAGCACGCGAACCAGCCAGAGTACAGGCCGTGCCACCAGCATTCAATCAACAAAGCGGCCAAGAGAAAAGAAGCATGCAAAAGGCGACACAAGAAGCAGCCCCCTGCAGCACGAAATCTCCATTAAGTAGCAGCACGAAATTCCCATTCAGCAGCAGCACGAAGTTCCCATCCAGCAGCAGCATGAAGTTTCCATTAGGTAGCAACATTAAGTTTCCATTAAGTAGCAGCACGAAATTTCCATCAAGTAGCAGCATGAAGCTTTCATTTAGCAGCAGCATGAAATTCCCATTAAGTAGCAGCACGAAATTTCCATTCAGCAGCAGCACGAAATTCCCATTTAGCAGCAGCACTACACCTCCCTCAGAGCAAAACAAGCCTAGCAGGGCACAGGCATAGTTTGGCGAGTGCGAAACAACCCGAAACAAACCAGCTTCATCATTTGCTGCGCATAAGCGTCTTCCATCAGACTCCAGTCCATACAACGGCCAGGCTCGACATTCCAGTAGCCGTCTTGATGCGTCTCTGAGCCCATAAAGAGCATCGGAAGGCCGCGGCTCACGGCTTGCAGAGAATACCTTCACGCACACAGACACTGCCAACGCCTAGAGCTATACACTCGCAGTGCCACCAAAGGATGCGCACACATACATATTTTACATACATACACACATATGTACATATATGTACATATACATACATGTACATACATGCACAGATACACATCCATATTTTACATACATACACATACATGTACATACACATACAGATACATATAGGTATACACGTACACATACATACATGTACATAGACATACATATAGATACACATACATACACATACATATATACACACATACATATACATATATACGTACATACACATACACAGATACATATATACATACATGTATGGAAGGGCAGACAGACGATACTTCAAAACTGCGTGTGGCGGCATTTTCTTGATGAACTACTGCACCCCGAAAAGGCATTGCATATTATAAGAGCCGCTCCAACAAAGCAGAGGCCGGAAGGGCGACGTGGGGCACGGCAGGGTGTCGATGAACAGAAACAAAGATGCATGCCAAGTTGAAAGACTGCATTTTGCATTGTGTAGCACGTGAGATCAGGAAAAAGGCGGCTCCAAGCCACATATTGAGGAAAAAGAAATGCAAGCGCAAGCTTTTGTGCTCGCGTTCTGCAGTGTCTAGGCTGCAGTCAATACGCGGCTTCCCACATAGCCTTCCGCGAGGCCTAGTGTGTGCTATCGTGGCTTGACAGAGGGCCAGCTAGCTGACTGACACAACTCGTGCGTCGGGGAGGAAGGCTTGGAGATGTGCTGCCGACTATTCCATGTTCGATATGCATTGCGCATTCCTTGATTCTCGCAAGCTTAAAGCTGGCTGCCTCGAGCTTACCACATGCGGCACTGAGCGCGGCTATGCCAGTTGTGTCTATTCCCAATGAGGGAGACGAAGAACTTCCCCTGTTTTCCATCAGTGTGCCCCTGAGAAGCGGGAGCAGATGGACGTTTGAGGTTCACGTGCAGGAAGGGTGAAACAGCCGCGTATGCACGGAAGACACACACGGAAAGTTTCCGCTTCTTTGCGGCTTCACCACTGAAAAGGAGGAAAAACGACTCAGGGGCAGGAAATACGTGGAGTGCTGAAAAATGGCTGCATTTTCAGGAGGTTTATTCATGAAGATACAACAGCCTTCCGGGAATGTTGCATGAAGAGGGTTCAAAAGGGCAAGGCAGTCCATATACACAGTACGGCTTCACGTACTCCCTTGCGATTTCCTGCCTGATCGTGGCTCCCCAAAATCGAGTTTACGCACTGCGATGACTTGGAAAACCCCCTGATTGGTGGCGGCGAACACAGCAAATCCGCATGCACCAAGCTCGCATTCCGGCTGATGCACGCTGGAGACACCTCACACACTCCTGCACTGTTTTTTCATGAGGGGCCGCTGCATCAACGGGGCCCCAAGCGGCCCTCTTTTAGATGCACAGAAACGCACTGGTGGATGTTGACGATATTCTTGATCATGGAAAGATGGTGGGGCACTTCTTCATTCCGCATGATCTGCGCGGAGCAGCCGCACGGACAGCAGGCTTGAGCGGAAGCTCTCTTAGCTTTAAAAGCTTCTTCTGAGGCGCTGCCTGCTGCGTCCACAATGCTGCATGCAACTTGCCTTCATGGCATCATAAAACGCCGAGTGTACCCAGCAAGCGTCACACTGCGCTTCGCGGCAGACCCTCGGATTTTCAGGTGTGATTTCGGCAATGAGCATCTTTGACGGGAACCGGCTCTTCAGATAGCCTGTAAGCTCCTGAAGAGAAGAGACACCCGCCAGAAAGAAAAAGCACAAGTGTCTTCCTCGTCTAGCGTTTTTATTTTGACCCCTCGCCGTCTGAAACTGAAACGGGCAGCCTGCGCTCTGCGAAGGACTTGAACAGGCACCGCAAGCGAAACAGCCCAGCAGCAAGGGGCCTCTAATGCTCTTGGGAAGGCGGTATTTCAGACATGGAGGGAGGCAAAAAACAGTACTTGAAGTAAGTTCCACGGCAAATTATGCACCGAGTCCAAGCGCAAAGCGTCTGCACTGCAGCAAGGCAGCACAATGAAATTTACGCGCAGACCACCTTGCTGGATTCACCTGCTGCTGCCAGTGCTGCCGCCGTGTTTACGCCATGTCGGAAGAGCAAGATTTTCAGCAGGAGCCTAGAAGCAGCGAGCCAGCAAGCTAGAGAGACATCATAGAGGGAGAGAAGAAGAGGGAGTGATTGAGAGACACAGACGCAGAGAAACAGAGAGAGAGATCATGAGAAAGAGAAACAAAGCTTTCGCGAGGCACCTGGCCTTCGCATTTCCCTCATAAAGAATAGCGCATTTAAAGGCAGATATTTATATAGATACGTATAGTCTACAGCGGCATGCAATTGCAGCATCGACGTAGGCCACCACAGTGTATGGCCCAGCGCCATACTCGTATTCCTCAATAAAGGCAGCGGCAGCCTCCTTGATCATCTGACGGATTTCCCGCTTGTGAAATGCAAATTTTCGACCCCATCCGGACTCCCCTCCGCCTTCGAAATAAATTCCTCCGTTGTTGTGTTGGCCATAGCTGCGAGCGGACAGAAAGAGAGAGGAAACAAGGAGAGGAGCGGCTGCCAGCAGCAGACACACGAAGGAACAATGCATGCATGTACATGATATATATAGATATATTTACATCTGCGGCCCGTTGCTTCGTGGCTTGCGTCGTGCCTGCAAGCGATTTGTCCAGCTCAAAACACAAGCTTGCACCGCTGGCAAGCACCAACAGCAGCAGCAGCAGCTCTAGCAGCGTCGCCGGCAGCAGCAGCAACATTTTCTTGCAAAGCACCCGTCCCAGTTCCAGAGGGAGTTGAGTTTGGCAGAGCCGTGGTTCAAAACGAGATCGAAAATAACCTGCAGCAATACGGCCCATATATGTGCAGCAGACATCCTTCCCGTGAGTTCTTCAACCCCGCGAGGTTAATAAACCATACACAAAGGCCTCTCAGCCTCTTCAACCGGGCATAACAACGCGCTCGCAACCTCTTGAATCGTCGGTTCAGCTTCGCTTACCGCCATCTTCTTCTTGTGGCAGTGGTGAACAAGAGCCTTGAGCGCTTGGGGAGTTCCGTAAGGCGAGTGAATGGCAAAAAGCAGCCGCGGGTTATACCCCCATAGGCCACCAAACTCCTGGACTGGCATCAGCTCGACAGCCGTAAAGCCCTGAAGGCAAAAACACCCAACACTCCAGCCGTATACGGCATTCAGTTGCTCTGTGCAGCAACAAATGCATGCCAAATTTCAGGCCGGCAGCAGCTTACAAGGGATGCGATATAGTCTATCTTCTCTCCAACGGCCTCAAACACCCTGCAGGAAACAAACAGCCCTCTCGTTTCTAAATAAGCTCTTAAACTCCCTGTTTTAAAAAAAAACGTCTTCCACCTTCCCCCTGAAACGTGCAATTCCTCTCCAACCCCCCCCCAACTTTTCCCGAAAAAGCTGCAATGCGATTCCTCACGTTTGTCCGCCCTTGGGCGATACAAAAGTGCCGGGATGCAATTCGTAAATAATCCAGCGATTCCACGGCTGAATATCAGGCATGTCTGCAGGTCCTGCTGCTTTTTCTGCCGCTGCCTTTAGAAGGGGGGGGGCCACAACGAAACAGTCATTGCTGTTGAAGTCACAAAAACGCGCGTAGGGGTCGCCTGCAAAGATGAGCAGCAAATGCAGCAGCAGATGCAGCAGAAGACGCAGATATAGTAGCAGATGCACCAAATACAGTAGCACATGCACCGAATCCCTTAGCCAATGCACCAGATATCTTAGCCGATGCACCAAATCTCTTAGCCAATGCACCAGTTTTTAGCAGCAAATACAGTAGCAGATGTAGATCTATTAGCGGATGTAGCAAGAGTGGCCTCCAAGTCGGGTGTATGTACACCCCGCAGCCGGGCCGTCCTGTGGACGGGTAGAGCGTTCTTTGACATACGTCTGTGCAGAAGTTCGCCTTCCTGATAATAGCAATCGTTTCGTTTTGAGGAAAGCACAAAATGGTAGCGCATGCCTTCCTGAACCCCCGCGAGACAGACAGACCACAGGTCGCCCTCGCCCTCGGATTCCATGGGAAGCTGCACTCCTTGTATTTCCACCTGGAGAGAGCAGAAAAAGCATCCGGAAAATGTGAGACGTTTGAAAGAAGCCGATCCCTGAAAAAGGCACATTCTAGCGCTTGAACAGCGGCGATTCTGCGGCTTGCATGCTGGCCCCTCCACACATTCCGGAAAGAATGCTTACCCACGCCATGGAAACATGGGGCCCCCAAAATCTAAAGGCACAGAGGCCTCTTTGTCTATTAAACAAGGTGCAACCTAGCGCCTTTCCCGAGCGGTCTTCTGTCTTTGGTACAATCACGATTTCTTGCGCTGCCTTGGCTGCCGTCGCCTCATCTGGCAAATCGCCCATTGCTGGTGCTTCCGCTGTCGCCACTATTTTTGCAGCTGCCCCTTCTGCCACTGCTGTCTCCTCTGCTGTCTCCTCTGCTGCTTCTGCTGCTGTCTCCTCTGCTGCTGTCTCCTCTGCTGCTGCTACTGCTGCCTTCTCTGCTGCGTTTGCTGCCTGTAAATGCCACACTCGGGAAGCCCCCCCTGCTGCTGCCTCTGCCGCTCCCTCCTCCGCTGCGGTCTGAGGTTCTTCTACTGTTGAAGCCTTTGTCACTCCTGTGGCTGCTCTGGCCGCTTGAAATGCCGCCTTCGCCGTTTTTGCTGCCTCCGCCTTTGCTTCCTTTGCCATCTTTGGGAGACGAGAGCTTGCGAAATTTACTGCTGCTCGGTGCGATGTCGCGGAGCCCTCTGCTGCTCTGTTTTCCGTTACCTCTAGGGCAGCACTCTCCGCTGAGGAGGCATCAGTGAGTGTTGCTTCCGCTGTTGCAGCTGCTTCGTCTTCTGCCTCTGCTTCTGGATACACCCCTTCGTGTTTTGTCGTTGTCGTTGCTCTGGCTGTTGTTGCAGCTGCTGCCGCCTCGGCTGACAGCTGCGCGGCAGCAGCTGCAACTGCAGCAGCAACTGCTGCACTGATGGCCTTCTCGTCGTCCGCTGTAAGCGCCGCCGACTTCGTTGCCTCTTCCGCGTCAGCAACTGCCGTATTACCCTCTGTTGTTACGGCTGCACCTGATTCTCCAACAACGTTCCTCGCCTCTGGGCACGTGGGATGCTGCAGCAGCGGAGGCTGCACTGGCAGCTGCAGCTGTTGTTTTCGCAATTCAGAGCGCCCCGAGACGTCACCCTGCACAGGCTGGCAAGCACCACAGCACTAATGGGCAACACGCGACAGCCCCTGACTTACAGCTGCCTGCGTGCGCTGGGCAGCACGAAACCCCATGAATTGAGAGTACCCGCATGAGCGTTGGCCCTTAAATAATGAAGGACTCGCAAAAAATCGATGCGAAATGCCGAGGTTCAAAAGTTCTACTCTCAAACAACACACACATATGCGCATTCACACACCCTAGACAGCCCAGCCGCCCCCTCTCAATACCCTGAAAGCTCACCTCAGACACCTCTGTGTTCCTCCTGTTTCGGTGCCTGTGGCAACACTTCAACAAACGAATAACATCCATAGTACTACTGCTGCTGCTGCTGTTGCTGTTGCTGCTGCTGGGGGCCCCCGTCGGCGGCAGAGGAAGGGGGGCCCCTGCTGGGAGCCGGGAGGCTATGAGGAAGGTCGTAGAGCGAGGGAAGACGGACGTGGAATTTTCCTCGCCGAAGCCAAAATTAAAGGTTCTACGTCGAAAAAAGTAAGATCAAGCGGAAAAGGAGGGATGAAACAGCGAGAGCACACGCTGCTGTTTCGTGCCGTGGCAGTCTAGTTGCTGCTCTGCTGCTCGTTTCGCAATGCTCGTGGAAAGCGCAACACACACAGGCCGCTGGCAAGCAGCCGCATGCGTGTGACTTTGTCCGAGGTGTGTAGCTTTGTGCCGCCGTGAGATTTCTTGGGAGAACCGCAGTCTCCCCCTTCCCCTCTGCTTCCCCCCACAAAACGCCGCTCGGCTGCCACCTAGGGAGCAACGAAACGCAGGGCGGATATGGGGACCCCAAGACAAAGTGGTGAACTCTATGACTTTAAAAAAGCGACTTTCTGGCAGAATTTGCATTTCAGAGGCGTCGGGAAGGCTGGCATCTGCCGCGTGGGCTGCCGGCGTGAGGAGAGTGTGGACGCGAGCACACCAGCGGCCGGGGGGAAGGAGGCACACCGCAGCGAGGGCAGCCAGGGATGATCTCAATGGAAACGGAGGTTTAAATGCAAACCATTCTTGCGTTTGCAACCTTAAACACAAATTTCTGAATTTTAAGCGCTCAAGAGACCACGAAGAAGCACGCAACGCTGAAGCTTCACGAGGGCGACCCCTGCCAAGTGACGCCGTCGTGGCCATAGATGCACGGCAGGGCAGTGCAGAGCGGCGCGTCTGTTCTTCTCACCACCTGCTTGTCTTTGCTTTGTAGACTTGATAATCAGCATAATTGAATTTTAGGGGCTTGGTCGGGCGTCGTGTGGCGTCCTCTTCGCGATGCTTCTGCGCACCGCTTAGGCATTTCGATTCCAAGGCCCCCGATGTGACGAAGCAAACAATCAACGCGAGACACTGCACGCACAGAAATGCTGGAAGCCTCTCTTGGAGCAGCACACCCAGCCAGAAATTCTCTGATCCGAAGATCCGCTGAGGAGATCTGTAGGGCAGAACTGACGGGGGCACACGCGCCAAACAGGCAGTCACGCTGCCTCACCGTGAGCAAGCAAGGTTGCGTGCTTCCGAGGCTGTAGGCGTCAAACTTGAAATAAAGACTGTCTGTAGCAGCCAGGCTTGATCCCAGTGGACCCTTTTCCAGATGGTGCGACGTTCGGCAGAGTACCCAGCCCGTGCGGGGCCTCCATCTAAGACACCCATATGGAGGCCCCTGCATAAAAAGCTTGACAAGTTTTGACGTCTTCAGCAAAAATCACCCTCCTTCCACCGCTCTCGGTACTCAGATTTTCCGACCTGAAGAGCGAGAAAATCAAGGGTTCGCGTCCTCGAACCTTTTGAGTACTCTAAGTATGCATAGCCACAAGCGCGTGGCCTCTAGCGTAAAAGCACACAAAATTACGCCTTTTCGCATCAAGCCGTCAGTTCTCTGCAGTAAATAAAACCCTCTAACGAGCAAGCCAACGAGTCTCTTGCTTACTAAATCGGAAGTTTAAAAATAGTTTTATGGAGAATGCCGAAGTGCAGCGCAGTCCACTACAGAAATCCTCCGTCCGTGAGCTTCCTTCCTTCCCTTAGCTACACGTTCCCCACCATCATGAAGCTCCAAAGTTTCGGACACTGCAGCAGTGCACTACGCGTGACGAGCGATTGGCGGGGGTTCTTTTTGGTCTGACCGGGGAAGGTGTTAGGCCTTAGTCCAGCGCTTGCCGCCCTCATCTTTGGAAGTCTCCTAGACAGACAAAATGCGCGCAGCGCCTCCAAGGGCTTCCATCTGCACCTACTAGGCTCGTGTGGCTCCTCAGGAGCATCCTGTTTGCCAGCACGTAGATGGAGGTGAAGGCTACAAAGATAGGGATTGGCCTCGCTCTGATGTGGTATATATACAGGAAGACATATACATATATGTCTTCCTTGTCATAGAGTTATATACGCTGCTCTGTTAGCACTCAATTCTTGCGGTCACCCAGGAAGCAGGGCTACACTTTCGAAGACACCGGCGCGCAGACACCTAAACACAGACTTGTAGAAATGTGTGCATAACCATACATCTATATCAAGTGAGCGAGCCATCTATCTGCAGAGCTTGTTTGGTGCGCGTGGCATTCGGCATCTGTAAAATCCCCCTCCGCTCGTTTCAGACAGCATTTGGTATTAGTAGCGCGATATATGTTTTTTGAAACAGAGCGCCCTCAACCGCTACACTTCTGTTTTTCCTGCCCGCCCATCCAATTCTTCCCGTAGCTCTCTGCGGAGACTACTGAGCGCGCTGGGCAACAACGGTGTGTGCTCAAAGAGAGGACACCCCGCGTTGCCTTCTTCTGTGCTATTTCTGAAGGCCGCCTGCAAGCAGGCAGGCTGGCACTGTCTGTGCCTCTGAGTCGTTGCTGCCTATTGCTCATTGTGCGTCGACAGCTCTTTTCACGGCCACAAACGCAACGTCACTTTTGCCGGCTCTGCGTGTGGTTCTAACTGTCTTGGTCACCGAGAGGTATAAAGAACTGTTCCGGCCCTTTAAAAAGATAATGTAGAATAGAGCTGCCAGCCTTTCGGCTCAGGCAGCGCGCGAAGCATGTTAAAAATTTGGCATTTAAGCTGCGTGTGCAGCGCCTCGGGAAGCTGTCTCATTTTTTACGAGCCAGCGCCTTCTGCCCGAAGCAGCCGCCAAGCCCAAGTACGGCTTCGCTTCTGGCAGCAACAACAGCATCTGCTGGCATTTGGATCTCTTTTTCTTACTGCTTCTCGTGTGTTGCACACAAGACAAGGTGTTGCTGCCGGTAGAACGCAGTGGTTTTAACACAGTGCAAACGAGTGCTTTGGGTTGAAGGGCCATTGAAAATTATTGTCTCCCTGCGATGATGAAGCGCTATGCACCGCCGCTGCTGCTGTTGCTGTTGCTGCTGCTGCCGCGCGCCTTGTCGCTGCATGCGCCACAGGCAACAGCGGGAGTGCAGCAGCAATTCTTGCCCTCCATTCCACTGCCCGCAGATCTTTCTCAGTCTTTCTTTACCGAGCGACTGCAGCGTCTCGATCTGCAGCAGCTCCAGATACCGCTAACAGGGGCACTGCATTCGCATGGAGTAAAGCGCCAGAAAGGTCGGGAGCCGTGAGGAGGCATCCAAAGAATCCCTGGGTATATGCATCAGAGTGCAGATTTATGATTGTCCGTGGTCGCATCTTGCGGCGAGGCTACGTTGCCTCGCGCTGGTGACGAGGATGCACCAGCAGCAGCAGGCGTAGTAGTAGTAGCAGCAGCAGCAGGCGTAGTAGTAGCAGCAGCAGCAGGCGTAGTAGTAGCAGCAGCAGCAGGCGTAGTAGCAGCAGCAGCAGCAGCAGGCGTATTAGCAGCAGCAGCAGGCGTAGTAGCAGCAGCACTAGATGCCCTCGGGCATGGCCCCATGTGCTTTAGGCGAATATGTTGCTGCTGCAGGCATGAGTATGCTTCGAGTTCGCATTCGTTCGCATAGGTTTGCCCATCCGTTCCACAAACCCTGACGCCTCCCGACGGACAGTTGATCCTGCAGCGTTGCTGCTTCTTTCCCTCTTGCTGCTGCTGCTGCTGCTGCTGGTTTTGCTGTTGCTCCTGAGAGGGAGGCGGCGTGCTGCTCTTCGTGGCGCTGCGGCCAGGAGACGCACTGGCGGTAGAATCTCCCTGTTGCTGCGACTGATATCCAGGTTCGCACGGCCCTTCGTGCAGCAAAAACAGCGGAGTCGCAGGATGATGGGTGTTGCTGTTGCCAGTGCTGCTGAGCCGACAGACCTCCGTCAGCAGTGCGCAGCGGCTCTCATAGGTGACTGCGTCAGATCCGCAAGCGGGGGGCCCCCTGTTTACGGGGGCCCCCAGACACTCAACAGGAGTACAGGGATCTACGCTCTGGCCTAGAAACTCTTCTTCCTGTGCTGCTGCAGCCGCAGCGGCGGCAGACATGAGCGCTGTCGCTCTGGTGAGGTCGCTTGCTTCCTGCGAAGTCAGCACTGGTAGCTGCTGCTGCTGCATCAGCTGCTGCTGCATCAGCTGCTGCTGGTGCCGCTGCTGCAGGTGCTGCTGCTGCTGCTGCTCGGGGGCCAGCATCTGCTGCAGCTGCAGGTATATTTGTCGCTGCTGCTGCAGCGGCAGGTGCTGCAGCACCAGCGACGTCAGCTGCTCCACAGAAAATCTGCTGCCCGATGCAGACAAGTCTCCCAAGACTCCTCGCAAGCTATTCATGAGGACTGCTGCGGTAGGGGAAAGCGGCTTTGCTTGCCTTCCCACCGAGGCAGCACTCGTCATTTCTGGCGCGACAGCCATGCCTGCATTCAATCCAGCCGCATTGACTGCGCCTGCAGATGCACGATACGGAGGCTGGTGCTGCATCTGCTGCTGCATGTACTGCTGCTGCTGCATGTACTGCTGCTGCTGCAGCCACTGCAGCTGCTGCAGCTGCTCCAGCTGCTGCTGTTGCTGCTGTCGCTGCAATTGCTGAAGCTGCTGCTGCTGCTGCTGAAGCTGCTCCAGCTGCTGCTGCTGATATGGTGTCCAGCCTTGCTGCTGCAACTGCTGCTTGGGAAGCTGCTGCTGCCATTGAGGACCGTACTGCGAGGCCGCTTGCTGCTGTGGCAGCCCCGTAGGCAATTGCTGCCCTTGCTGCTGCATCATTAGCTGCAGTTGCTGCTGTTGCTGCAGCTGCTGCTGCTGCTGCAGCTGCTGCTGTTGCTGCAGCTGCTGCATGTACTGCTGCTGCATGTACTGCTGCTGCTGCTGCTGCTGCTGCTGCTGCACGCGCCGATGCAGCTGTTGCTGCATGAGTTGCTGTTGCATCATTTGATGCTGCATCGCAACAGCAGGAATTGTCTGCAGGCGCCGTCCTTCGCCCTCTTGCTGCTGCTCAGGACTCGAAGCAGTTCCCCTAATGATTGCTTCCGCCGTAGCACTTCCAGTATCCTTTAAAACCAGCAGTAAAAAGGCGACAGCAACCAGCCAAATCCGCTTTAAATGGGCAGCTGCATTTATCACAGGAACTCTAAGCGCTGCCGTTGCTGTAGCAGCTGTTGCCGCTGCCGTGCTGGTGCTCTGCGTTGTCTTGGAGGCCTTGCCACCAAAATGTGTAGTGCTGCCGTCAGTTCTGGAAGGCGTTGTTTCTTCTGATGCCACTGAAGCAGCGCCAGAAGACATATAAGAGCTTTTCCTAGCACCGTTGAAGGCTCTCGTCGGTAGCCGGTTTTTAGAAGGGCCTTCAGGGGGCCCCCCGTGGCGGTGTGTACTGCTTGGTGGAGGAGCACAGCAGGAATGACGCAGGCAGGGGGATCCTGTAGAATAGATTCGGACGCTGCACCTGATAAGAGGGCTTAAAGGCGAAATAGGCCCGCTGTTGCTTGCAGCGGAAGACTGCTGCAGCTGTTGTGCGGGTGATTTGCGGGGGGCTGCGGGTTGCTCATCCCAATCGAGCATCATGTCCTCGAGATGAGTGTGCACCTCGGGCAACGCTGCGGTGCAGATACACCTGGATCAGCGCTTGAGTGGCCGGTTACCTGAAATAAAACGGGTGTGTTTGTGGAGCTGCAATAGCTGGGATGGTCCACTGCAAATTTTCGATTCAGGGTGAAACCCTGGCAAAAAGAATCATGGTATCGCCGACTCTCTTATCACTGACGCATATTTCCAAGAATATTTCACGGGCTGTCCCCAGAGTAGAGGAAACTGAAGTGCGTTCAATCATATGCAGCTGTCTGGGTCACCTGCCTGCTGCTTCCTCCCGCGGGGTAAAGTTTGTACTTTTAACTGAAATCGGCGTTATGTATGATGGAAAATGACTGAGCAATTTGAACTGTCTAGAGAATTTGAAGCTGTAGAAACGCCGGAGAGGCAGAACGCGAAAAAGCGGGAGAACTTGGCCAAAACCAGCAGTTCGCCGCTGCCTGGGGGGTGGACAGACACCTGAGACGTTGCAATAAGCGAAAGAGAAGAGATTACCAGATAAAGCACATTTTCTAGCGTAATTATGGCTTTGGTCGAATCAAATGCACTGAAAACGTCCGCACTGTTCGCCTTTCCCTCAGTTTCTGCGCTTTTGCGAAGGCACACCGGCTTCAGCCCTGCAGGGGTTTTGATTAGTATGCACGCTCCCCTTCACATGCGTGGGTTCTAGATTATATCTTAGGAATCCGTTCTAAAAATGTATCGCTTCTATCAAAGATGCAAGAACAATAGGGGATTTACCGAACAGGGTCCATTTGCGCCCTGCAGAGCGTAGAAGCTCAGCGCTACGCACCCTCGTAGTACAGAATGGTTTGGCAATTAGAAGATTTGTAGCTGGCATGTCACCACTCACGGCTAGGGATCTGCAGTCCAGATTTTGAGGCCGGGGATGGGACTGGGACAAGGCGAGGTATCTTTTGTGTGTTTCCAGCTGCTCGCAGAAGGAATCCAGGCTTAAAAACACCCATCACCGATCCCCATAAAACGAGACTTAGCCTCTCAGCCAACTAAAAATTTGAACAAAGTTATTGAGAGTAGAGTATGGAAGGGTTCTTCTTTCCCCATTCCTCAGGGTTCCCCACACAGGAGAGAGGCAGCCAGAGTGCGCGTAGCTGCACCCTTCAACCTCTCGGAGGATTCACAGCTAGTTGCACATCTCATTCAGTGCACAGGCACACCACGCTGAGCTATACCGTACTGATTTGATGCTACCCTGCAACGCATAAGATCAATGAGTAGCCACACCAAGGAGTCACCTTTCTACCATTAGTCAGCTGGGGATAACTAGTGTATTCAAAATGCCAAAGCGTGTCTTAGTCCTCCACAAGGTTTGGAATTTATGTGGTTCAAATTTGCAGCCATTTTTTCCCATTTTCATGAAAGGAGCGGGGACTCACGTTAGACGATAGCCAAAGCCAAATTGTAGTAAAAGTAGTGGGCTAGGCTACGCTTTGCTAATCGCTAATATGACTAGCATGATGGAAAATCCTGAAGAATTTGGCGAACTGGTATTTTCTCATATTTTTTGCATACTTCGAGCCACTCTTAGCTCGATAGTAGGAGACTCAAACTTTATGCTTGTGAACGCTAGAAGTGCTTATCCGGTGCATCTACGCGCACTCGAGCTATCACTCTCCCCTCCTGTGGAAAACTCCTAGAGGTGGGGAAAATGCGAAGGACAAAGCTTTTCTGTAAGAGGATGAATAACTTTCTACTGTACTGCAATGAGTGTGGTGCTGAGTATCTCCCTATGGAACCTTAGATGGGGTGTTACAGCGTGGATCAAGTCACAGCATAAACGCTGTGCGTCAGGAGTCACATCAGGCTCACGTATCTGGGTCATTTGATGCGGCCCTGCGCTGTGTTTTAGCGCATGCCTCACCAATTATCTAGGGAGAAAAGGCAGAGACCGTAACGACAGGAGAAAAAACATGCGGAATAGGCAAGTATAAATGGAAAGCCTTGCACAGTTAGGTATTTGTATTAAGGCACAACCACCCGTATCCCCCCCAGGGGAACGCCCCTCCCGGCCCCCCTGCCCCCACCCCGCTATCAGAGCTGCCGCACCCACACGTAGTGCCTTTTAGACAGCCCAGCCAGCACATTTTAGGGCCTTATCCACGAAGGCTTACTAGCTTCAAAAGCCAAGGACTTGTACAATTTGGACTCTACCAGCCGTTCCGTTTTGGAGGGAGCACCAGTTGCAACACACGCCTTATTGTTGCCGCTAAGCGTACTATAGTGCAGCGCAAAACGCGCATTTGCTGATGGCGATGTAGAGTGCTACATCCGCGACCCCCAGTGCTCGAAAAGCACTTGCGGACCACATAGTTGTGTACTTGAGAAAGCCAAAAAGTTAACAAAAGGCATAGCAGCCAACATGCCCAAGAGCGCCAGATCAACACATACACTGGCTTGCTCCAGGCCTCTGGGGGGCCCCTCCTTCTTGGGAAGGGAGAGCTCCCCAGGGAAGCCCTGCACTCACATGAAGGCTCCCCGCATGCCGCAGATCCTCCAGAAGCCACCACCCACTAAGCGGTGCTGGAACCTCGGCGGGGGGTTAGAAAGACAGGACGGGAGGTGATGCTGCTCTGCCGTGCTGTTACAAGCAAGGCGCTAAATTAGCGAACCCTACGCTTTCAGAGCAACTTGGGGAGCGGTCGGCGTCCAAGGCGCTGCAAAGCGGCCACTGGTATCTTCTGGGGGCGGCTGTAGCGCACAAAAAGCCGCGAATTCGATGCCAAATACCGAGTCTACGCCCTAAGGCTTCGTCGGCTACAGCCTCGCGTCATCCGAATTACTAGGTACGCACCCCACACGCTCAGCCGTGAGACCCTCCCACCCAATCCGCAAGCCTAATCTCTTAAACCCACCCGAAAGCATCAACAGAGAAAAATTCGACAGCTTCGTCGCCATCCAAATCACGGTATAAGGAAGCCGCTGTCCCCTGAACAAAAGCCGTACGACGCAGAACCCTGCCAAAAAGCACCGTGGACATAAAGGCGCTTAGCAGAACAACTAAAAGTGTGACCACTACTGACAGCGCGCATGGCAGCAGGCAGCACGACGCGTAAAAACGTGGCTTGTGTGTGCATGCAGTAGCTGCAGTACCATCGTCGTCAGCAGCCGCAGCAGCAGCAGCCCACCTGGACTTCGCCCTCGAGCACTTCGGTGACTAAATGCATCTCTTTGGGGAGCAGACTTCTCTGCACACAATACGACCCGTGCAACGGACCTGTGTGCTTCACGCAGCGCTATGTGAAGCACGCAAAGGTGACTTCAATAACGAGACATGAGAAACCTTGAAAGTCACTGCACAGGTTGGTGGTTTCGTTACGCAGAATTTTGAGATCCTCAGATGCATGTGCAAACAGTAGAACATCAGCATTCGGCAAATAGCCCGCCCAGCCACTGGCCGATCGCATCATGAGAACTACCTCATTTGCTTGCGTGCATCCTGCTAAGTAACGGCAAAGGTCACTATTAATAAGGATCTAACCTGCTGGCGGCACCGCGCGTCAGCTCCCCCTGGCTTTTGCTGCTGCGACTGCTGCTGTTGCTGCCGTTGCTGCCCGTAAAGGTGCACGCATACACACACACATACACACACACATACACACATACATACATACATACACAACACACATACAGCCACGGCAGACATGCATACACAACATACATACATATAAAACATATACAGCATATATGCGCAACAGACAATACATACATACAAGAGATACATACACATATATATATATATATATACAAAACACATACATACAAAACATACACACATAGACAACATACATGCATACAAAACATACAAAACATACAAAACATACAAACATACAAAACATACAAACATAGACAACATACATACACAACAGGAAACCGGATGGCGTGCATCACGAGGATCTAGAGCGTCTGCAGCAAACGCACAGGGCTTCTCACCGAGTGCGGCTCGATCAGCCGCTTTAACAAGCCGGAGGCTTCGACTGTCAGCAGCAGTAGCAGCAGCACATCCGCGAACCCCCAGGAGGGGGCGGCCCTTGCATCGCTGCTGATGCCGATGAGAGAGGGGAGGCGAGCGAGAGCACCGTAACTGCAGCACCAGCAGAGAGTCGCTCTCGTGGCGGCAAAAGAAGGCAGCAAACAAAGGGGGAGAGTGAGCAGCATTGCCCAGCAGAGCAGCAAGGAAGGGTTGATGGCGTGAGCCGCGGCAGCTGCAGCCGCTGGAGCTTCTATCATGAAGCGTTTGAGTAACAGCTGCAAAGCGCCGCTTCGCCACTGCAGCAGATCCTCCGCTGCAGCTGCCGCGGCAGCTGCAGCAGCAGCTCCAGAAGGCAGAACAGGTCCAG